ACTTAAAATATCTTAGAAACAGTAGCCAATCAGTTGTTTTAATTGTCATATTTGAATTCAGCACATCAAAATACATAATAAATAGCACATTTTATCTCTGAAGCAGATGACTTCTCAAAAATTGTAGACCAGTGTAAGCGGTGGAGTACTGTGCCTTTGGGAACAGCGGGTCTGGTCATTCTGTGAGTGGTTAAGGGGCTGGACACCACAGGGGGCTATTCAGAGTTCTCAGGGGTTGGAGTTTGCCTAGCGCTTGCCAGCCTGAGAGACATGAGCCCACGTGGGTTGCCTGTGGCTGGTGGCATCAGGCAGTTGACCCCTAGCAGATACAGAGAAGATTCCTCAAGTTAACAGCAGGCGTTAGCGAGGTGCCTCGGAACTCTGCTACCCCGGGGATCATCACAGATGGTCTATTGACCCCCTAGAGGGGGACTGAGTGCAGTAATGACCAGGTGTGGGTGACAAGGCAAAGAAATAGGGGAAATAAAGGCTTTTATATGTTTATCAGGAGGAAAATACAGTAGGTCTCTTAATAAATAAAGAAGGACAAAATTAATGCTTAATCAAAATGGCTGAGATACTGAATAACTTGTGTTAACTAAGAAGAATAAAATAATAGCTACGGGGGGAAATTAGTTACTAAAACCGAGGTTGGGATTTTAAAAACATCTCTGAGATTTAGGACTATTATGCTGCTATCTGTTTTAGGCACTTTGTAAAGACAGTAGAACCATAAGCAATAAGCAGGACAAGTTTAAAAAGAATGTATTGTTGGACAATGAGAGTGCTTGTTTTAATACTGATAATGTGAAAGAAAGTTAAAAAGAACTTGTAATGAAAAGAAAGTTTTCCTATAGAGAGACTTAGTAAAAACTGTAAAAGTGTCTAGGGCTTCTCTACATGGTGTGGCATTGTGCATCAGTGGAGTGTGAATTCTAAAGTGCACCAATGTGTTGCACACTAACTGGCCTGTGCAGACCCTGGTGGCATGCACTGAAAGTTCCCTAGCGCACATTAATATAGTGCTGTTTTGAATAGTCAGCGCTATGTTAACATGCACTAGGAAACTTTTAATGCATGCCACCAGGGTGTACATGGGCCACTTAGTGCAGAAGAACGGCCATACTGGGTCAAATCAATGGTCCATCTAGCTCAGTATCCTGTCCTCTGACAGTGGCCAATGCCAGGTGCTTCAGAGGGAATGAACAGAACAGGCAATCATTGAGTGATCCATCCCGTCATCCACTCCCAGCATCTCACAATCAGAGGCTAAAGGCACTCAGAGCATAGGGTTACGTCCCTGACCATGCTGACTCATAGCCATTGACGGACCTATCCTCCATGAACTTGTCTATTTATTTTTTGAACCCTGTTATAGTCTTGGCCTTCACAACATCCCCTGGGAATGAGTTCCAAAGGTTGACTGTGCATTGTGTGAAGAAATACTTCCTTTTGTTTGTTTTAAACATGCTGACTATTAATTTCATTGGGTGACCCCTTGTTTGTGTGCTCGGTGAAGGAATAAATAACACTTTCTTATTCACTTTCTCTGCACCAGTCATGATTTTATAGCCCTCAATCATATCCCCCTGTGCTCATCTCTTTTCCAAGATGAAAAGTCCGTCTTATTAATTTCTCCTCATATGGAAGCTGTTCCGTACCCCTAATAATTTTTGTTGCCCTTCTCTATACCTTTCCCTATTCTAATATATCTTTTATGAGGTGGGGTGTCCAGAACTACCCACAGTATTCCAGGTGTGAGCATACCATGGATTTATATAGTGGCATTATGATATTATTTATCCCTTTCTTAATGATTCCCAACAGTCTGTTAGCTTATTTGGCTGCTGCTTCATATTGAGTGGAGTTTTCAGAGAACTATCCACATTGACTTCAAGATCTCTTTCTTGAGTGGTAACATCTAATTTATACCCCATCATTTTGTATGTATAGTTGGGATTATGGTTTCCAGTGTGCATTGCTTTGTATTTATCAACATTGAATTTCATCTGCCATTTTGTTTTGAGAGATCCCTTTGTAGTTCTTCGCAGTCTGCTTTGGACTTAACTATCTTGAGTAATCCGTTGGTGTGCTTTAGAATTCACTCCACTCTAGTGTGCATTGCCATGCTGTGTAGACAAGCCCTAAGTGACTAGGAGCATAAATTCCACTGGATTTGAATAGGATGTAGCCACCTATTGAAAATTTTACCCACTATCCATCAATTACCTCTGTGATATTGAAGCCAACTTCTCCTTATAAGTCCAGTTTTAGCCTCCACCCCGACCCTTCACACCTCTCACTTCAGTGATATCAAACCAACCCATCTGATGTTGTCTAGGCTGCATCTCCCCTAAGGGGGTGGGACATTTTTTGGGAAAGTTTGGTTCAAATTGGATGAGGGTTTTTGGAGATCTGGAGGTTTCCATTTTTGGCTGACATCCAAAGCAATGTGGCTTTCAGCAGGCTTTCTATGTTTTTTGCTGCCCCAAGCATGGCAGTCAGGCGGCCGCCGGCAGCACGCCTGCGGGCGGTCCGTGGTCACGCGGATGCGGCGGCGTTTCTGCGGGTGATCTGTGGGTGCTGCAGCTTCGGCGTACCTGCCGCCGAATTGCCACCAAAGCCGCGGGACCAGCGGACATCCCGCAGGCGTGCCGTCGAATCCGCATGACTGCCGCCCTCACAGCGACTGGCAGGCCACCCCCCGCGGCTTGCTGCCCCAGGCACATGCTTGCTGCGCTGGTGCCTGGAGCCGCCCCTGGCTTTCAGACACCAAATTTATTTTGTTTGGCTGGCCTTGATATGGAGAGGCCTTCTAGTCTTTGATTTGGGAAAGAAGGAGGCTGGTGGGGGAAATGAGAATTACAATTATTTCCCTAGGAAACAATGGTAAACTACCAATGGCACAAGTGTTCTGATGCATTGAACCAGACCCCAGTCAGGCCAGCTCTTCGGGTTTGATGAGTTTCACATTTTAACACTTTTTGGTCAATATATCAGCTACAAAAGGCTGACTCAGAAGCAGACTGAACTGTGCAGTTTCCTGGCACTATAGAAATGTCAATAAATAATTAATAATTTTAAGGCTTTCACTTACTGTAGCGCTGGCCCTGCCAAATCCAACAATCATGGCATCTGAGGAAAGATATTGAATACTCGGTATCAGCTTCCATTGAAATGCCAGAGAACTCCTGTTAACCCTAGAGCTGGTTCAAATGATGCTGCTGAAACTTTTTAAAAAATATATATTTAAAAGTGACTGTTTGACCAATATGAAAATGTTAGCAGGAAATTTTAATTTTGGTCAATTTTTTTCCATTTTTTGGATGAAAAGGTTTTTTTAAACTGAAAATGGATTTCAAAAACATTTTTCCCATTCCTCCCCCGCCCCCCTCTTTTTGTTGAAAAAACAGATTTCTTTTGAGGAAATTTCAGGGCAGAAATGAACATTTTTCACCCCCCCCATCCTGCTAATAATTGGCAGTTAACAACATGCGCCAATTCAGTGCTTCTCAAAGTTGGGCCGCCACTTGTTCAGGGAAAGCCCCTGGCGGGCCGGGCCGGTTTGTTTACCTGCTGCGTCCGCAGGTTCGGCTGATCACAGCTCCAACTGGCCGCGGTTCGCCGCTCCAGGCCAATGGGGGCTGCAGGAAGGGCGGCCAGCACATCCCTCGGCCCGCGCCACTTCCCGCAGCCCCCATTGGCCTGGAGCAGCGAACCACGGCCAGTTGGAGCTGTGATCAGCCGAACCTGCGGACGCAGCAGGTAAACAAACCGGCCCGGCCCGCCAAGGGCTTTCCCTGCACAAGCGGCGGCCCGACTTTGAGAAGCAGTGCTCTAATTAACCTTTATTCAACTCCTGCTTCTAATTTGACATAAAGTAGAATCCCATTGGGAAGTCCCTGTAGGCCTGGCCATCACCCTGCTTCGACTCTTCTGTCCCACACCCTTTTACCCAAACACCAATCTAAGCACTAAGGGAAGCAGCATCTTACACTCCAGCCGATCTCCAGGGCTCTTGTCACTCTCCTCACTTGGACTCTGTCCCCTGTGGAAAAATGTGAGCACAGCATAGCCAGGGAAGTCAGCAGCTGCCACCTGTTTCTGGTGCTCCCCCTGGGAAATGGGAGGCCCAGGTCACATCTCCGCTCTACCCAATGTGGATCAGAGACTTGAGCGGGGTGACAGCCTGACAACTGAGCTATGGGGCATTCTGATATGGGCCACTCTCAGTCTTGTCTGTTGAAGCTTTGCCAATGTGTATAACTGATTGAAGAGTCACTGGGCCAGAGAGAGAAACTGGCTCCATAACCTGGGTGAGGACACAGTCTTATTCAGGACTTGAACTTGGGTCTCCCACAGCTTAGGGGAATGGCCTCACCATGAGGGTATTGGACATTGCAGGATGGAGCTGTCTCTAACCCGCAATTCCATCCTGGAACCTAGGAAACCTTCCTGAGAAAAGTGTCATTGAAACATACATTTCAGCAAAAATTTAGGTTTCCATTAATCAACATTTTTTGACAAAATTGTCAAAAATGTTCCGACCAGCTCTGAGTGGTGCTAATCATTGGCCGCAGAGCTGGGGGGCACCCAGGCCACGACCCAACCACATTTTGGCCAGCAACAGCCCAGATTGGGGCAGGTGATCTGGCGGTGCCAGGGCCAGGAAGGGGACAGGCTGGCTGTTGTAGTGCTTTGTCAGGAGAGAACTTCACCTGCACTCAGTGGGGAGAGCCAACAGGCCAGAGTGGGGAGCCGGGCCAGCCCTATGGGACAGGAGATCTCCGCAACCCAGGGGCAGAACCAAACGCACTCCTTGTGCGCCCCCCCCATATGGTGCTCTGTAGCCCTGGTGCTAATGATGTGGATGGGAGGAAGCTACAGTTTGAAGTGATTCAACCAGGAAGGGGAACTCTCACCCCACAAGCCCCAGGGATGGGGGGAGGGGTATTGTCATGGCAGGTGGTGGTTTGAGCGCTACCGTTCTGGCTGGGATTCTCGATAGAGCCTAAGGGAATTAGACACTCAGCTCCCATCAAATTGGGATTTAGAACCCTTTGCTGCCTTAGGCTCTTTTGAAAAGCAGGCCTCCATGACGTGTGTTTGTGTGGGCCACATATCAGCTAGACATGTTAGCCGAGGGGTGATCGCAAGCTACCTCGTATCTCTCCACTTCAGTAGAACTGAAAAATAAATGGAAAATGTTATTTAAAGTTTGAACACCTCACCATGAACTAAAGGACACCCACAAGCACACACAATCTGTGATCAAGCTTCCGTGTGGCTCCTCACGGCTATCTTGCTTTTGCTTCCTTCAAAGTAAATGGCGTGGTTTCCATGAGAACAGGACAAGGCTAGGTATGCATGTAGAAGTGATATATATTGTTTATCGCTGTTGAGCTATATACTGAATTTATCCATCCATCCCTGTCTACCTCATTAGTACATAGGATTCTTACACTCTAAAATGTTCCATGAAAAACTATTTTACTCCACTCCACTGCGCACACACACACACACCTCTCCCTTGGCAGAGGATGAGAGACCATATATGTGACAGCAGGGGCGGCTCTATGTTTTTTGCCACCCCAAGCACGGCAGTCAGGCAGCCTTCTGTGGCATGCCTGCCGGAGGTCCGCCAGACCGCGGATTCAGCGGCATGCCTGCGGGTGATCTGCCGGACCTGAGCCTACAGCAGCTCAACAGACTTCATTGAGAAGCTGATTAACTTGAACTAATATGCAAACTAGATACCATTAACTTAGGTTTGTACAGAGACTGGGAATGGCTCGGTCATTACACTAATTGAATCTATTTCCCCATGTTAAAGTATCCTCACACCTTCGTGTCAACTGTCCGAAATGGGCCATCTTGATTATCACTTCAAAAGTTTTTCTCCCCTGCTGTTAATAGCTTCTCTTAATTAATTAGCCTCTTACAGTTGGTATGGCTACTTCCACCTTTTCATGTTCTCTGTATGTATAAATATCTTCTTACTGTATGTTCCAGTCTATGCATCCGATGAAGTGGGCTGTAGCCCAGGAAAGCTTATGCTCTAATAAATTTGTTAGTCTCTAAGGTGCCACAAGTACTCCTGTTCTTTTTGCTGTAGAGGCATGTGAGAACAGTATGCAAATGATAATTAGGACCATTCAATGCTACTTAGGATAGAACTTTGAAGTGCAAACCTATATTGTTAGAAATCAGAGGTAATACTAATTATATGTGTTTACTTATATCTTACAGATACTAACCATGTGAACAGACAGTTCCTGTCTATTACCACAGCTATTGTTGCAGAGATCAAAAGGGAAGGCTAACTTTTAGATGAACCTTGAAATAGTGGGGGAGATATGGTTGCAGGTTTTGCACCTGTTGTTCTGACAGGGTCTGGTACAGCTTTGAGTTGGTGTGCCCTGGTCTGGTTTGATGTGATATTTTTAAGGATTTTACTGCACTTGTTAGGATGCTCAGAGATTGACTTTGCTGCAGGCAGACAGGGAGGGCCGGGGCTCTGAGCATCGTCTCTCTGAGGTGCTTGGCTGGCTGGTTCTTGATCACTTGATCAGGGTCTAACTGATCCCCATGTGTGAGGTCATTGGACTGTGTTATCCCTTTCTCTACTAGATCGAAGAGCTCATTATTAAATATTTGTCCCCCATGTAGGTACTGATAGACTGTAACCAAATCACCCCTTAATCTTTCTCTATTTAACATAAATAGATTGAGCTCCCGACTCACTATAAGGCAGTTTTTCTAAGCCTTTAATCATTCTCGTGGCTCTTCTTTGAACCTTCTCCAATTGAGGAAACTAAATCCCATTGAAAGTAAACAGGAACTGCGGGCGGGGGGCGCTAAACCCCATTAAGCTCTCTGGACAATCCTGCCTTAGACAAATACATTGTGCCACCTTCATCTGTGTGTGTATGTGCTAAGTCACATTTGTGAGTGGCTTGGGGATGCTTTGCTATACTTTGTGGATACTGCATGTTGACCTGGTTATTGGGAGGCTTACTATATGGCTATGCTGGGCTAAATCAGCGGGGCTATTGGGAAACAAGCAGGAAAGCAACTATTTGAGATAAGACATTATGCAAACATAAGCAAACACTTGAGGGTTGTTACAGGACAATGGCACAGCTGTGGGCCTGGGGAGACAGGCTGCTGGGCCCATCCAATTGGCTTCGGATTAGCAGGGCCCCAAAGCCCAGAACTGGAGAAGACAAAGGAATTCTGGCTGGATAAAAGTGACTTTCTTACTAGGGAAGGTGGGAACATTGGGTAACTGGTCAAACTGACACAGGCACTGGCTGGGGATGTCTGAAGAGGCTAGACCTGCCTGGGCCACCGTCACAGGGGGACGGGCTTTAGGTAAGTCAGACAGGTGTGTAGACTGATGGTTTAAAATCCTCCTCCTCTGATGTTATGCTTTGTGCCTATTGTTAAAATTAAATAACACTTGTCTTAGGAAGGCTGGTGATTTTGAGTCACTCTATTCCCCATTGGTCACAGACTCCCGAAGGAAGAACTGCCAGTTCTGAACCCAGTCTGACCTTCTGGGTAAGCAGAGTAGATACATGGGATCCTGTAGCCCTGGGCCCAGTGTGAGAATGGGACAACTGAATCATTCTACTGCAAGAGAGGAAAAGACACAAGGTCTGCAACCTGAGAGGATGGACTCAGAGAAAGGGGACAGAGGTAAACTGGCTCTGTCACCATGACAATGCCCCCATCTCCAGTTTTTCAGCATGACATTACATTAATTACAATCATTTACATTAATTATTGACAGATACATTATTTACCACATAAATTATTTACCACAGAAAAATTATTTTTCACTGGTGCTTGCTATTGGTTAGCTGAGCTGCTGTATTGTTGTGCCAGCAGTTGACCTTTGCATGATTTCAGTATTAAAGGGTTGCAAAGCCTTACACCAATTTTAAAAAACAGTTTTTCCAACATCTGCCTGGGCCGTTGTGGGCAGTGATAAACAAATTACTCTTACCTTTTCTTGCCAAAAGGGAACATACCACTACTAGGACCAGGAGAGAAGGAATGGTAATTCCCAGTATTAACTTAGAGGACATTCCTAGGAAAGAAAGGGTACAATGTCAGCAGAAAGGAGACACTGGGAGGGAGGGGAATAAGAAATTAGTGGAGAAATAAAAGTAGATATGGCATGTGATAGTGTATGAATTTCTGTCATTAATATTATTAGCTCTCTTTTTGTGGGGTTTTCTTAGTTCTATTCTATTCTATATAGGTTTGTAAGCAGCACTCATCACTGTAGTATCTAAGCACTTTCCAGCAGTGAATTAAGGGACATGACTGCACATCTGTCACACATTGTTTGTTCTCTCATCCTTGCCCTAGGAGGAGAAATGTGTGCAATGAAGAGTATTATTTTGTAGGACTTTTTAAAATATACATATTGCTCTGAATTTATGTTGGAGAAGGCAAGTGGAAGAAATGCATCTGGCGCTTGGAGCAGAAGGTGTGGAGGTTTGTGATAGTCCTTAGTTCCCGGAGAAGTTTACTGCACAGCCTGGGACTGCCCCCCAAGCAAGTTCTGTCTCCTGCAGAGACGAGCTTCACTCTTACTGTAGAAAGTTCCACTGGGCCAGAGGAGCCGAGTAAGGACTGAGGAGGGATGTGAATGTAGGGAGCAGGATGCACTGGCAAACTGGCTAGGGCAGGGTATTCCATACACAGGGGACAGCCTTGGAGAAGGCATGGAATTGGAAGCAGCATATGGAGACATATGAAGCATCCAGGTAGATGAGGTATCTGACATAGAACTAGAGCTGATCAGAAAATTTCCATCCAGATGTTCATGAAAATTTGATTTCTGGCAAACTGAAAATTTCCATGTGAAACTGTAGATTTTGTTGATTCTTTAAAATTTGCCGTTTGGGACAATCAAAATAAAATGTTTCATTTCAGTCCTGGATTAGTCTGCCTGAGTTACTGTGGTGCCTCATGGGAATTGTAGTTTGCACGTGTCATGCCTCCATTCTCCTTTATGGGCCTGCCTCATGGACAGACTACATCTCCCATTATGATCTGTGGTCAAGGGACTCCCATGATGCTGTGTGGCAACTGAAGTGGACACAAAGATCAATGTAGAAAAACTGAAATGAAATGTTTTGATTCAGGAATGTCATAGTGATTTATTTTGAGAGAAAATATCTAAAATGTTCCATTTTTCACATTTCCAAATAAAAACATTCAGAAATTTTTGCTATTTTTGTCAAAAACAAATGCTGAAGGACCAGGCTGTCCCACAGAACAGAAATTCTGTGTTTAACTTGCCCCATCTTACACATCATCCCTGAGCTTGGCTGGACGCATTAGCTGGTGAGAGAACTGAATGTTTCTTATGGGTGGGCAGCTGTATAGATCTTATGGGATGTGGCTGGTCCATATTTTAGGGGGAACCAACTTCAGTGTTGCTCATCTCCTTCCAGCCAAAATTCAAACTGGAGGCTGGCTGCCACAGACAATGTGATTAGCTGCATTTGAACACTGGCTGCCCCAACAGAGAAACTGCCAAGCAACAAAGGAAGGGTCAGAATAGTAGCTTCAGGTCTATTCATTCTTCATGCTTTTTCTCAGGACATTATTTGACCAAGCAATGCTAGAGCAATGCCATGCCATAGACATAATGAAAGAAATTCATACCTAGGCCAGCACAAGGTCTCTGCATTTAAGTTCTCAAAGCCTTATACTGGATTTCAGCACAGGGGTGAATTTCACCTCACCTCCCTAACTTCAGCACTCTCTCCCAGTTCCCCAACACTCTGGTAACTGAAGATGGTGGATCTGCATTCAGGATCTGTTTGACCCAATATTAGCTAGATTTACCCATATCTTAAAAAACAGCTTTATGTTGTCTGCAAGCCACCTACGATCATAACTAACTTCATTTACCATTGGAAAGCGGCTGAACTCCAGGTACAGTCCTGTTGGAAGTGGGCGTTGCATCTGTGGAGTGGATGCAGAGCTGGTCATGCATAAATTACTTCATCTGAAATCCTTGCAAAAATCTGCTTTAAAGCTAAAATAATGCTTGCAATGAAATACTCATTGCTCTGGGTCAATATGTTTAGCCAGAGAATTTAAGTGATTTCTACTATAGCTGTTGGAAAGACACATTTTTCTTTCATGGGAAATTTTGACATTTCAAAATCACTTTCCATTCTAAACTGGAAAGAAGAATCGAAATATCAAGTGTTCACTAAATAGAACACTGGAAATGTCAAAGTGAAAATACTTGAGCGGCTCAGAACAAAATGGCCTGATTCAACATTTTCATTTCAATTCTACTGAGCAGGGAAAAAAAAGATTAATAAAAATCAACGATTGCTAATTGAAAATTTCAATGATAACAAAACCAAAATGAGACTTTCTAGTGGATCTATTTTATGCTAGGCTTTGAATTGACATTCTCAAACGGGACAGTTGTCTCTTAGCTGTGGTAGTTTGGGTCCTCAGTCTCTTGAAAGTCTAGAGGAATACAGCAGCATCTCATCCATTACACCATGAACAGGGCCAAAATATCCCAGGACTCCGGTGATTAAGGCTGGGTCCTATTTAACTCTATTTAGGCTGTTAGTCATTTTCTGTGGCCTAATAATTGAGTTAAATATTGTGGGGCTAATCCATTGCTGCTCTGTTGTCCATTCACTCCAGTTAGGCTGATGCAAAGGGTCCGGAGAGCAGAAAAAGGGAATACCCTTAATGCAAAGGGCACCTGTGCCTGGGAGCAGAGACTGCTCCATTAGATGTGCACCATGTACTCAGGCACCAGGAGTGTGTGTGTGTATTGGGGTCTCATGTTAGGCCCAGGAGAAGGCAAACTTGTACCCCTGCATGAGTACAGGATTGAACCTGGCTCTCAGAGCCTGGTGCAATACCTGTTCCTCTTGACTCCATAGGAAGGGGCCTGTATAGGGAATTTGGCAGTCCTGCTATCTTGCCTAAGATTATGATAGTCAGTGCAGGGTGCTTGACTATGTGTCACACATTCCTGAACCCCCTGGCAGAGACATCCCCATACCAACCCACGTCCTGAAAAATTAGGGTCTCCTTTATACCCTCTCTCATCCTCAGTCCATAAACAACAACATTCCATTTGCAGGAGGTTTGGATGGGCCCCTTTGATCTCACTGGCTGTCCATTATATCAAACCGGTACCTCTGGGTGAATAGGAAAATTGTATTTATCCCTTCATATAACACAAGAATTAGGGGTCACCCAATGAAAGTAATAGGTGGCAGGTTTAAAACAAACATAAGGAAGTATTTCTTCAACCAACTCACTGTCATCCCATGGAACTCATTGTCATGAGGTGTTGTGAAGGCCAAAGAATAACAGGGTTCAAAAAAGACCTAGATAAATTCATAGAGGGCAGGTCTATCAATAGCTATTAGCCAGGATGGTCAGGGAGGTAACCCTATGCTCTGAGTATCCCTAACCCTCCACCTGTCAGAAGCTGGGACTGGACAACAGGGGATGGATCACTCAATGATTGCCTGTTGTGTTCATTCTCTCTGAAGCACCTGGCACTGGCCACTGTCAGAAGACAGGATACTGGGCCAGATGGGCCATTGGTCTGACCCATTATGGCCATTCTTATGTAGTCCATCTGGGCTACACCTAATATTGGAGAATAGTTGTATAAATAGGATGAGTTTAGTGTCTTACCTGTTACACCCAGGTTCTGGGTGGCACTTAGAAGTGAATTCTTTTCCTGATTTTGAGGATCCTTCTGCTGATACAAACAGGTAAATCTCCCTGCGCTGTTTGACCTCACTTTATAGTCGTAGGCGAATTTGCTTTCCTGCATTGGCCAACTTGCAAGATCCTTCCCATCTTTACAGAAAATAACGCGGAAAAAAGGAGAGAGGGGAGGTACTTTACACTTCAGCACCACGGTGTCCCCTTCCTCACTGGATGCCTTGTCTAGAAGTAGCTGAGGAGCACGGAGGTTACCTAAGTAGACAAACATTATGCTAAATACAATGTGTCTAGTTCCTTGATGGTGTAACCTTGCAGTGCTCCAAGGATTTTAGCAGAGATTTTGGACCAATGAATGAGGCAACCAGCTTGATTTTGAGGCCTTTATAAAATCCTGACAAGAACATTGACCCAAAGAGCTCATGGAGGGAAGCGGGCACATGGTCAGCCTCCCACTTGTGGAGATAGGAGGTTGGGTTTGTGTAGTCCCTGAGGAGTCTCCTAGTGCGGAAGGTGGTTGGTAGCGTGGGAGCAATGCTGACACCTCAGACTTTTCATAGGGCTGAGGCAATTTCTCAGCTAGAGCCCTGCCCCAGTGACTTTTCTACTGTCTGTAGAAGTGGGGTTCTCCTCAGACATGGGCCAGTCAAAAGTCTGTTGAAGACAGTGGAAAGATTCCCATTGACTGGTGGGTTGTGAACCTCAAGGGATCCACCAGAATGAAGGTGGAGTAATGGCCTGCCTCCCTCAGTTCCTTTGTTCTACTCATGCTCCATAGCCTGCAGACCTCATTAATCTAAGAAGGGTTACCCACTTTTGCATAAGACAGCCCCCCCATCCTTGCCTGCTGTGGTCTTGGTCCCCATAAATTCATCAAGAACCCTAATCTTTCTATTTCAAGCCCCCTGCTTTTCCAGTTCCTATGTTAGGAATGTTTGTTTTTTCAACAAAGGCAACTCCCAGACAAAAAAACTTTGTGAAGGCGAAGTTAAGGTTAAAAGTTGACATCAGTAACATATGGGTACAAATCCACATAGACATTTATAATTAGTAAGAGAGGAGATATTATAAAAGGCAGGAAGTTCAGAACTGAGGGGAAACTGATAAGAAAATCAAACATTTGAAAGTATTAAAAATTGATATTTAAAAGACCTAAACAACCGGAACTCTACCCCCATAGCAATGCCCTGAGAAAGTCAGATACTCAGAATAACTTACCCATCTGTAACAAGCTGTTCCAATTTATCAGTGGCCACAAAAGCTAGGAGTCCTTAATTTTAAATGTACAGAGGTTGTTCCAATTCCTAAAGTCATAGACAGTCCTGAGCTACAAATTCTTGAATAGACAGGCAGTGGACTGCAAGCTGTTGTTCCCTACTCCTGATTATAGGCCAGATCTTTCCTTCCCAAACCTGCAAACGACACTGACCTATTCTTCCATCACCTGTCCTGTCGCTGCAGTAGCTTGAGTTTGCTGAACTGGTGCATTATGATACCCCCTGTCTCCAAATAGTTTGAAAGGATCTTGTGCAAAAGTTTGCTATATCCCAGCTCCTGGTAGCGGTTGCCAGACCAGTGCAAGGGGTGCAGAGCAGGTGTGGAAAACCACATGGACCTGGATCCAGAACAAAAGCTTGAGGCCTTGGCCTGGGGAAAGATTCCCATTGAATCATCCTTTTCATTATTATTTGTTATTTTTATTCCTGTCTAGCCCAGGGATTACCTTTTAATTTTACTGCCATCCTTTTTTAGCTGTTTGAACCCAGGAGCATTTGCTGATTATGAGCAATTCACATGCGTTGCTACTACTGGTCGATCAACCATCAATTACACCATTGCTATCAAATTAATTATCTGCCAAAGACCTTTTGCACAGTGATCTTCCAGCTTTGTAGCTGTTCCAGTGCAATTTGAGGTAAATAAATAATTCACCCAATGTAGAGAAGTTCATCTAATAATCAATTAACAGTTTTTAATCAAATCCACATAACCCCATAGAACTCTTCACAATTTCTGTCCCAAGAATTAATTGCCAGTCTTTCAGAAACTGCAGTTTTTTTCTGCTGTGTGGTTGCATTTCTGCTCTAGGTATGTGGAGCAAATACTCACCTGGAGAACTGCAGATTTCTTGGTTTGTGAAATGAATACCTTTAAAATAAATACATAAGTTTAGTTTTCGGTAAAGGCAGAGGCTCAGGTTTTGTTCTCTGTTGGTGTTGGGTAAATCCGGAGTTGAGCCGTGGCTGCAATGGGGTGGGGGCAGATTCTGATCTCTGTTCCCTGGAGATACCACCTTTATCTGCATATTATTGTCTCTTATGACACATAAAGGAAATGTAATACAGTGGTGGTTTTCAACTTATGGTCCAGGGACCCTCAGGGGCTGGCAGACTATGTCTAAAGGGTCTGCAAAAGGTTGTTTTTACCATAGAACAGTGGTTTTCAACCTGTGGAAGTTCTGGCATTTGCAAAACATTAAATGACTAAAAAGAGCTCTTTAATTTAAAGGTTATTAACCTTCCAAAATAAGCTCCATTCCACAGTGATTGAGCCTAAACAGAGATATGTTTATTAAACGAGTGGTATTTATTTAGGTTCAGATTCTGCTCTACAGTTACACAGATCAAAATCAAAAGTAACTCTGTTGAGGTAAAGTGGAGTTACTCTGGATTTACAAAGGTATCATTAAAGATAGAATTTTAAATATTCTATATATGTGGGTATTTGTATATAAAATTAAGGCAGAGATTTTAAAAGCTGCCTAAAGGATCTGGACTCCCAATTCCTGTTAAGATGAATGAGAGTTGTGTGTCCAAATCCCTGGTGGCTTGGCAAACATTAGCCTAAATTTCTAATTTAGACCAGTCATTAAAATGTTCCTGTTTAATTAATGGGACAAAGCTCAAATATTTTGTCTCCAGTCTCGCCTAAAAATAAAATGTAGAATATCCATAAACTACTTACAGCAAAGCCAGAGAACCAGCCGCGGGATCATCAGGAGATTTGGTGAGAACCCAAATTTTTGCTGTGCGCTTCAATTGAGAGAGGCACCAGTTAGAAGAGGCACCAGTTAGGAGAGAACCCAGGGTCTCTGTTCTGACTTTGCTCTTGTCCACTGGGATTCACAGAAGATCAGACACAGTTCCTCTAATCGGAGTTACTTCTGGTTGCCGGTCCAGGAGAAGCTGCTTTCACTCAGCTCAGTGTCTCCTTTTGCTCCTCAGGGTTCAGACAGCAGACAGGCTGGTTTTGTTATCTCTTGTGGATTGTGTTGCTGCTCTCTGTATGCGACAAGTGTTCATGTCATTCGACTCTGCACCATCCTTCAGCCCTGACTTCCTGCATGATACCTGAAAAGCTTAGGAGATTACCATTGTCTGTGGTTCAGATCAAGGTTATGGGTGGACCAGCTTCAGTTGCACCTGCTAAATATCCAAATAAACAGGAAAAGAGGCATTTCAGCAAACTCACATATTTAACAGACCTTCCTTTCAGTGGGTGTATAGGGGGTGTTTTAAGGTCACTCCTGCTATACAATAAGAAAACCTTTAACTGTGGTTGAAGAAATTAACCTAAATTCACTCTCTTATACCAGTGTAGTGCCCCCTCTCCACCCGGTTATCTTCTATAATGCCAATCTGCATACAGGTTTGATGGACAGGTCTGGGTTCTTCTGGATCCTGCCACCCACTCAGCAGGGTGTATCTTCTTTATTTTCTCCTATGAATTTATTTGGTGGTGCCTCCACCCCCCTCATTCCTTCCTGGCAGGGTCACCAGGGCAGTTTGGGATGAAATTCTAACCACAAGGTAACCCCCACTTATTTGCCAGATAGTTGGAGACTTCCAAGAAATAACACAAATACATACAATATATTCAACACAATAATTATATTAAACAGGAGACAAATATGACATAACAGGGTAAAACACTATTCTTAGGGTCACCGGTGCCCACGCTGATAATACCTGTGACTTTCCCCAGTCACGTGACCTAATGTAGCAAATATAAGATTAGTGTCCCGTTGGTACGCGTACTTTGTTGGGGCCCTTGATGACCTATGACCACGATAGTTTCTCTGTGGTGGTTTAGCAGTGTGGCTGACTGGGTTCAGTACAGCCCAAAGGACTCACAAGTGGGAGGAGGTACTAAATCCCTCCACAGGTTTAATATCCAGCAGGTTATAAAATCCCCAACCCCCTCACACACTGGCTTGAGGACACAGTTCAGGGAGTAGGGGGTCCCCAAAACAAATTCCCTAACTGACTAACTAAAAGATGGTGCACTCACAAACTCCATGAATGATCCTCAGGTTCAGAGATGACTCTGGACTCCTCGGTCACTGCAGAGGGGCTGATCTCTGCTGGCAGGGATCCTCTTCAAGCAGGAATCAGGCTGCTTTGGTCCCAGGATTTCCCCTCACCAAAAAGGGGTGCAGGGCTCAAGGTGCAGGTTACTCAACTGTACTAAAATCCAAACTGTCATATCCTAGCCCAGCATACAGACACACTCACAGCAGGCAGCAGCCCTGGACTAGCAGCCAGAGCAGAGCTGACCATGTGGTGACTGGTCTCACCTGGGGGGCGAACTCAGCCTGGCTGGGGAAGTTTCCCAGCAAAACTCTACAAACTGGGAATCATCAGTGGAGAGGGAAAAGCCCAGCTGAGGGGATCTTGCTTTCAGGTCACTAGAGGCCAGTTCTCAGGGAGAACCCTGCATGCAGGCCTGGAACTCACCAGCTCCCCACACAACCAGTTCTGCCCTTGCCCTGACTGGCTCCAGACTGACTCAAAAATGGCATCTCCTCTTTCCTGAGCTCCCTGGGAGGGGCATCTCACTCCCTATTGGTTGCTGGGCAGACTCTGAGTCTGCCTTGGCTCCCCCTCCCTACCAGGGACGGTGTGCCTCTCCCTGAGCTGCCAGCAGACAGAACCCCAGGAATCTAGTGTAAATCCAAGTAGCTCTACTGAAGACTAATTGGGGTGAAAAGGAGAGAGTAAACATCAGGGAGCTCAGCAGCGATACTCAGGATTTACACCAGCACATGGGAGAGTAGAATTTGGCCTAGAATGTTTGTCCAGGGTGTTTCTCAACTGGTGGGTTGCAAATAGAGCTGTATGGATTTTCAGGTTCAGTGAGAGAACAGAAAAAGTTGAAAAAAATCATTTTGGGTAAAATAAAACATTTTATTTCATTTTTAAGTTTTTTTAAATAAAATTGAAGTAAAATTTGAAACAGAAAGAGATCTTGAATCAAAAAGTCAAAATGTTTTGTTCAATAAATATAGAAATGAAAAGTTTTGACATTTTTGGAATTTTTTTTTCAACTGAAACAATTTGACACATATTCGCAAAATTGTCTGGTTGATCGGAATCTGCATTTTTTGGCAAAAAACCCCTAAATGTTTTGTTTGAAAAATGTTGAGAGCCCTATGTGAGTCCTGGAAGCCAATCAGGGTGATTTAAAATTTTATTACAATCTACACAAAGAAAATCTTGCCCCTTCGCACCCTGCACAACCTTATGCTGAAAGATCAAGTATCATCTGTCAACCTCTCAAAATTCCCACACAGATAAATTCTATAGGTTTATCCAAGTTAGCATCAATACACTTTTTACTCTTGCTTTTCTAGTAAATGTACGGGGCTCATGACATTGTGTGAATAACTAGAAAGACGAGTGTACTACATAACAAGTACAGCAGATGAGAACAAGAACTGAAGAGACTGATTCGGCTTCAGAGAATATTCATATTTTGTGTGTCAGATTTTCATAGAATACAGGTCTGTCTCATCTTACGCTGGGGTTACGTTCCGCAGTCAGCGCCTAAAGCAAAAATTGCGTATAGTCAAAATTACATTGAGTGTAATGGTGGGTGGAATCACCCGCACTACAGAAACAGTATTTAAATTGTTATTTTTCTCTCTTTTTTTGTTTGTTTTTGTTTTGCCGACCGTGTAAAGCTGAAATCGCACATGTTAAATGCGCCTAAGATACGACAGACCTGTAATATAATCATAGAATCATAGGACTGGAAGGAACCTCGAGAGGTCTTCAAGTCCAGTCCCCTGCACTCATGGCAGGACCATGCACCATCTAGACCATCCCTTACAGGCATTTGTGTAACCTTCTCTTAAAAATCTTCAATGATGAAGATTCCACAACCTCCCTGGGCAATGTATTCCAGTGGTTAACTACCCTGACAGGAATTTTTTCCTAATGTCCAACTTAAACCTCCCAGACTGCAATTTAAGCCCATTGCTTCTTGCCCTATCATCAGAGGTTAAGGAGAATAATTTTTCTCCCTCCTCCTTGTAACAACCTTTTAGGTATTTGAAAATTGTTATCATGTCCCCTCTCAGTCTTCTCTTTTCCAGACTAAGCAAACCCAATTCTTTCAATCTTTCCTCATAGGTCATGTGTTCTAGACCTTTAATCATTTTTGTCGTGAACTTCAGTTCAGTCACTCATTTATGGGCATATCAGGGATGTGGTGCTTTCCTGATTCTAATAGATTTTGATTAATCAAGGAAGATGTTGATACATTGGAGAGGATTCAGAGAAGGACCACGAGAATAATTAAAGGATTGCAAAACCTGCCTTATAGTGATAGACTCAAATACCTCTGTCTATTTAGCTTAACAAAAAGACAGTTAAGTGGTGACTTGATCCCAGTCTATTAGTACCTATATGGGGAGCAAATATTTGATAATGGGCTCTTCATCAGGAAGATGTAAAAACATATTTTATTTTGAATTGACATTTCAAAGTGAAATTTTCCAATTTGAATTGACACTTTGAAGTGAATTTTTCTGTTGCATGATCCACAAAAGAAGCAGCAGAACCCAGAAGTGCTATTGTGCAACTGACCAACCCTCTGGACAACTCTCGCCATCCCAGTGCTGAGACTCCATTACAGAGATGGGGCTTTTCTTTGTGTTTTTAACAGAAGTAACTGAAAGTTCCCTTGTTCAGTCAGCAGTTTTTCTAGGGAGACCTCAAGGAACCATATTTTGGATTTTAATTAAAGAACGCTTTATGCAGGTTTCTGCTTTGGCCTAAAAACTTCAAAAACATAAATTTAGTCAATTTGCCTTGGATGTTTTAAACAAGTTATAATCATAAGAACAGCTGGAAAAATCATGGAGCAGGTCCTCAAGGTCCTCAAGGAATCAATTATGAAACACTTAGAGGAGAGGAAAGTGATCAGGAACAGTCAGCATGGATTCACCAAGGGCAAGTCATGCCTGACTAACCTAATTGCCTTCTATGATGAGATAACTGGCTCTGTGGATGAGGAGAAAGCAGTGGATGTGTTATTCCTAGATACACTAGAGGGTAGGGATCGGATACAGAGGGACCTAGACAAATTAGAGGATTGGGCCAAAAAAACCCTGATGAGGTTCAACAAGGACAAGTGCAGAGTCCTGCACTTAGGAT